TTGGAAGCGGAAGTCAGCTTGTTTAGAAAGGGATGAAGAAGCTCCTTCTAAGAGGGAGCAGGAGGAAGAAGCACACTCTCCCAACAGCGAGGAGGCAGACTACTCTAAAGCAGGGCCATCACGAGAACAGGAAGAATTCCTCATTTTCCCTCAAGGAAGAACTTGGTGGGAGAGTTCCTCCTCTTCATTGGAGAGGAAGAACTCATAAATGAGACAGTAACCACCTGATCTCTATCCCTGAGTGAGCTGTGAGATATGTGAAAGGATTTCAAGCTGTCGTCCACACAAGCACATTGTCATCTGGCTGCTCCAATGCTGTGATAATGGGGCCAGTAGCCTGGAATTAGAGGGTAGGGAAGCCAAGCAGCTGGGATCCCTTTCTAGGGAAGGGGGCACTGACAAAGCAATTGGAATAGGGGCACAAACCCTCAGCCTCTGGAGGCTGTCAGGTGTGAAGGAAAGGTATCCCTTCAAGGAAGATGCTACATGTCACCCAGGCAAGTCAATCCACCATGGAGATAAGTGTCCAGTACCTGAGGGAATTAGATGTGCTGGAGATGATTTATGATGTCCTGGACAACAATCAGTTATCCAAAGATCTTGATGAAGTCAAGTGCACGCGAGCCATGTGGTGGCAGTTTGTACGGAGTGCACCATCATTGCATGCCAACTCACTGGCAGTAATGACACGGGAAGACAGAGAGGGACAAACAGTGGATGAATTGGCTGGCCAGCTCTGGCAATACGAAGAAAATCTCTCTTCCTCTCTCGTCTCGGCTGTGGAGAAACTGGTCCAGCAACACAAAGAGGACAGATTCCACTCCCCACCTGTACGGACCCATACCTCAGCTATTAGAAGTGTGTGCGCCTCTGCTCAAGAGGGAGGATATAGGGGGTACACACCATGGGCCACACTGTTGTTTTACCTGCATGACCACAGAGAGGACATGAGGAACTGGGATGGAAAATCTGCCTTGATCCTAGAGGCACAGGTACGTAAGTTGCAAGGAAAAACAATCACAGAAGGCAGTTCTTCCAGGAAAATTGCGGCTCGAGTTTCCAGTGAGCAGTTCCCTAGACAGAGTAGGAGGGCTGATCTTACTCCTGATCTTAATGAAGAGACTTCTGATTCATACTTACAAGAAGTGAGTAGCGAATACTACAACCAGAACTAGAGGGGCCCTGCCTCCAGCCAAGTGGAGGAAAGCAACAACTGGGTTTACTGCATTGTGTGGATTCGATGGCCTGGAACATCAGACCCACAGGAGTATAAGGCTCTAGTGGACACCGGTGCACAGTGTACCCTAATGCCATCAAGCTATACAGGGGCAGAACCCATCTGTATTTCTGGAGTGACAGGGGGATCCCAACAGCTAACTGTACTGGAAGCTGAAGTGAGCCTAACTGGGAATGAGTGGCAAAAGCACCCCATTGTGACTGGCCCAGGGGCTCCGTGCATCCTTGGCATAGACTACCTCAGGAGAGGGTATTTCAAGGACCCAAAAGGGTACTGGTGGGCTTTTGGTATAGCTGCCTTGGAGACAGAGGAAATTAAACAATTGCCTACCCTGCCCAGTCTCTCAGAGGACCCTCCTATTGTGGGGTTCCTGAGGGTCAAAGAACAATGGGTGCCAACTGCTACCACAGTGGTGCACCGGTGGCAATATTGCACCAGCCAAGACACCCTGATTCCCATCCATAAGCTGATTCGTCAACTGGAGAGCCAAGAAGTGATCAGCAAGACTTGCTCACCCTTTAACAGTCCCATATGGTCAGTGCAAAAGTCTAATGGAGAGTGGAGATTAACAGTAGACTATCGTGGCTTGAATGAAGTTATCCCACCGCTGAGTGCTGCTGCGCCAGATACTCTAGAACTTCAATGTGAACTGGAGTCAAAGGCAGCCAAGTGTGGTAGGCCACAATTGCTAATTGCTAATGCTTTTTTCTTAATCCCTTTGGCAGCAGAGTGCAGGCCACAGTTTGCTTTCACTTGGAGGGGCGTCCAGTACACCTGGAATTGACTGCCCCAGGGGTGGAAACACAGTCCTACCATTTGCTGTGGACTGATCCAGATTACACTGGAACAGGGTGAAGCTCTGGAACACCTGCAATGCATTGATGACATCATCGTGTGGGGCAACACAGCAGAGAAAGTTTTTGAGAAAGGGAAGAAAATGGTCCCAATCCTTCTGAAGGCTGTTTTTGCCATAAAACAAAGTAAGGTCAAGGGACCTGCACAAGGAGATCCAGTTCTTCAGAATAAAATGTCATCAGATCCCAATGGATGTGATCAACAAAATAACAGCTAGGTCTCCACCAACTAGCAAAAAGGAAGCACAAAGCTTTTTCAGGTGTTGTGGGTTTCTGGGGAATGCACATTCCAAATTAGTCTGATTGTATGCCCTCTCTGTCAAGTAACCAAAGAAGAACAATTTCAACTGGGGCCCTGAGCAACGACAAGCCTTTGAACAAATTAAAAGGGAGACAGTTCATGCAGTAGCCCTTGGGCCAGTCTGGGAAGGACGAGATATAAAAAAATGTGCTCTACACCGCAGCTGGGGAGAATGGCCCTACCTGGAGCCTCTGGCAGAAAGCACCAGGGGAGACTCGAGGTCGACCCCTAGGGTTTTGGAGTCAGGGATACAGAAGATCCGAGGCCCGCTATACTCCAACTGAGAAAGAGATATTGGCAGCATATGAAGGGGTTCAAGCTGCTTTGGAAGTGGTTGGTGCTGAAGCACAGCTCCTGCTGGCACCCCGACTGCCAGTGCTGGGCTGGATGTTGAAAGGGAGGATCCCCTGTACACATCATGCAACTGGTGCTACGTGGAGTAAGTGGGTTGCACGAATCACACAACGGGCTCGAATAGGAAACCCCAGTTGCCCAGGAATCTTGGAAGTAATCATGGACTGGCCAGAAAGCAAAGATTTTGGAATGTCACCAGAGGAGGAGGTGACACATGCTGAAGAGGCCCCACTGTGTAATCCACTATCAGAAAATGAGAAATAATATTCCCTGTTCACTGATGGATCCTGTCGTATTGTGGGAAAGCATAGGAGATGGGAAGCTGCTGTATAGAGTCCTACAAGACAAGCTGTAGAAAATGCTGAAGGAGAAGGTGAATTGAGGCAATTTGCAGAAGTGAAGGTCATCCAGCTAGCTTTAGACATTGCTGAATGAGAAAAATGGCCAGTACTTTATACTGACTCATGAATGGTGGCAAATGCCCTGTGGGGGTGGTTACAGCAATGCAAGCAGAGCAACTGGCAGCACAGAGGCAAAACCATTTGGGCTGCCGCATTGTGGCAAGATATTGCTGCCCAGATAGAGAACCTGGTTATAAAAGTACGTCACATAGATGCTCACGTACCCAGAGTCGGGCTACTGAAGAACATCAAAACAACCAACAGGTGGATCAGGCTGCTAAAATTGAAGTGGCTCAGGTGGGTCTGGACTGACAACATAAGGGTGAATTATTTATAGCTTGGTGGGCCCATGACACTTGAGGCCATCAAGGAACAGATGCAACATACAATGGGCTCATCATCGAGGGGTGGACTGGACCATGGACAGTATCGTGCAGGTTATCCATGAATGTTAAGTATGTGCTGCAATCAAGCAAGCCAAGCAGTTAAAGCCTCTCTGGTATGGAGGACTGTCCTGGTTTCAGCTGGGATAGAGTTAATTTTCTTCCTAGTAGCAGGCACAGTGCTGTGTTTTGGATTTAGTAGGAGAAGGATGTTGATAACACACTGGTGTGTTAGTTGTTGCTAAGTACTGCTTATGCTAGTCAAGGACTTTTCAGCTTCCCATGCTCTGCCAGGTACACAAGAAACTGGGAAGGGGGCACAGCCAGAATAGTTGATCCAAACTGACCAAAGGGCTATTCCATACCATATGATGTCATGCTCAGTATAGAAACTGGGGGGAGTTGGCCGGGGGCAGCGATCACTGCTTGGGAACTGTCTGGGTATCGGTCGGCAGGTGGTGAGCAATTGCATTGTGCATCACTTGCTTTGAATATTATTATCAATATTGTTATTATTATCATTACCATTTTACTTTATTTCAATTATTAAACTGTTCTTATCTCAACCCAGGAGTGTTTCTCACTCTTACTCCTCCGATTCTCTCCCCCATCCCATCGGGGTAGGGGGAGTGAGCAAGCGGCTGAGTGGTGCTTAGTTGCTGGCTGGAGCTAAACCATGACAAGGACGATAACTGAAATACAAATATGGGGAGGCCTGGCAGATTGATTATATCACACTCCCACAAACCTGCCAAGGTAAGCGCTATGTGCCTACAATGTTGGAAGCAACCACCGGATGGCTGGAAACATATCCTCTGCCCCATGCCACCACATGGAACACTATCCTGGGCCTTGAAAAGCAAGTTCTATGGCGACATGGCACCCCAGAAAGAACTGAGTCAGACAATGGGACTCATTTCCGAAACAACTTCAACGACACCTGGGCCAAAGAGCATGGCATTGAGTGGGTCTATCATATCCCGTATCATGCACCAGCCTTCAGGAAAATCGAATGATACAATGAACTGTTAAAGACTACCCTGAGAGCAATGGGTGCTGGGACGTTCAATCATTGGGATACACATTTAGCAAAGACCACCTGGTTAGTCAACACTAGGGGATCTGCCAATCAAACTGGCCCTGCCCAATCACAACTTTTTTGTACTGCAGAGGGGACAAAGTCCCTGTAGTGCACATAAAAAGCAGTTAAAAAGATCCAGAATAAAAACTGGGATTAAGCTTCAAAAATCATTATATACAACACACCCATGCACTGTAATAAGGAGATACTATTTACATTACATTTACTATTGACATTAAATAAGACAAATAAACAACTACGTTCAGTGAAGAGTAGTTCATGTTCTCATGATTATTGACATCATCATGAGTCTTAATCCAGACAAAAAAATGAATTTCAGATTCATTCAAGATTACATCAAAATATTCAAAGACTGAAAACAGACGTACCACTAAGAATTCCTTTTTGTCCACCATCTCATTGCCATCGGTATCGAACATGTTGAAAGCGATTCTAAAACCTGCATGCGGCTCTGCCAAAAAAAACCCCATTCAATTATTTATTTCCTTGGAAAGAAAGCAACTATAAAATTCTAAGAAATTATTTGGTGCCTGTTTATAAAAGACATATCCTTCGCTAATTTAAATTAGTACATTTGTGTACATAGTAAATGTAAATCATAACATCTGTAAAATAACATTATCCATATTATGAAAACAGAAGGCATGCTCACAAATTCATAGATTAGGGGAAATACACAGTAGAAATAGAACATGAAACATCCAAGAAAAGTATCTCACAGTAATGGCTGGTTGGGTAGTTAAGAGTATTAGTTCATAAATAGAGTCCATTTTACAAAACACAAATTTGTAGAAAATAAATTTTGTATGAAAACACAGTGTTCCAAAACACACTTTAAAAAGTTTTGCAAAAAAGGTACAGGATACCACTTCTGGTCAAAACAAATGGTGTGTTGAAAGAGACCCAGAATTTTCTTGCTTACATGCTCAGAGCCATTAAAATTTGAAATCAGGTTAGAATTTTAAATTATTTCTGAAATGTGGGGACTGTAAGTGAAGCCTTTAGGCAACATTGTGATGATACTCAATAATTTGCAATATGGATGAATTATGGCCAGAACTTAGTCCAGATAACAAAGAAATGATGGAAGAATATCCATTGATCCAGCAGTTAGGGACCGTAAGGTTTTAGGGTCAAGTTGCTGCTCTGATTCACAACAAGAATCCAAATCATGTCTGAAGAAAAACCTAATGAATCCAACAGAAATTTTTTATTACATATTATTTTTTATTACATACAAAGGAAAGACAAGTAAAACACTTCACCCCTTCCCAAAAAACACCTCTTAAAATATCAAAACAAAGTCTGTATCAGGCTTAGTTTAACTATAAGTTCTTCTACTTTGTTGTTATGGGTGGTAGAAGAATAAGTATTCAATTTTGTTAGTGTTTCCTAACATAAATAAAACATTTACTTTAGTTTGACAGATGTTATATTTCATACTCTATCATTGTCTCATTGATGTCACCCATTATGCACTAACAGGTGAAACAAACCATTAATAACATATATCTTTCTCTTCTTCAGTGTCCTTTATGAACTTCAGTAAACTCAGCTAGAAATTTTGTAGGAATTTCAAAGAAGAAAATAAATTTAAGCTTTTAACTGGGGTTTAGCTGAAGTGTATGACTCAACTTTCTCAACAGTCAGTAAAAGGTGTTCTAGATAATAAAGCACTTAAATAAAATATAACACAAGATTCCAGTATGAAAGGAAAGGCTCAAATGGACGTAGAGATGCACGATACATTTTTTTCCATATTGGGATGCGTGGGGGGAAAAAAAGGAGTATTGTAACATACAGCAATATTTTCAGAGCTTAGAAATTTGTAAGGAAGTTTTGGGGTTTTTTTTCTCCAAAAATACTTACTTGTTAAAATACATAAGAGGAATAAATATTCTGTGTAAGATATCACACCTGAAGACAAAAAAAAAAAAAGTTATGCCATATTAGTTTCACCTTGTCCTCACATCCTAAACTTGAAAATATTAAATTTATATATAAGAAGGAGCATTTTTGTACATGTGCATATGCATATTCATACTTCTGTGCATGTGACTGTATTCAACCTGGTCAATGAGCTATTTGTCTAAAATATTGATCTATGGGGTGGGGGGTTTTTTGTTTGGGTTTTGGCTTTTTTGGGGGGCGGGGTGAGTATTTTAGGGGAGGTATACATTAAATATGGCAAATAAACAACTACAGTCAGTGGAGAATGTCTCATTGAACAGAAGCTGGATAGATTCTTAGAAGCTAATAGAAATGATTTTTTCAATTTTCTTTCCAAAAACCCCACCAATAATTCATGACAACACTCTCTAACATTATGAGAACATTTGCTCTGAGAACATTAATTGTGCTCCCTCCTGATACACACCATTTGAATACAGTTGTTCAATATGTGCTTTCTAAGTGCAAGTCCTACATTAATTGAAAACTTAGCCTCATGTTACTTACGAAAGCATAAATGTGGGCTTTTGAGTTGTCTTTATGGGCACATTTTCATAATCATCACCTGAAATTTATATTAAAACTCTTACTAAATGAATGTGTAAATTTCATTAAATATTTTTAAAGCCTGTTACAGATGTTTGTACTATCTCTTCTTCTACATTCAGAAGATCTGTAAGGAATACATTCTAAGCTTTTCATCTTTTGTTAGATGTCAAAAGGCAATCACAGTGTGGAATGGCACTTCCTTTTCTCTTCAGAAGTGATTAAGGCAAAATTTAAATTTGAGCTGAAGTCAATATCCAAATGGTATGTCTGGTACCATAAGCTGTACTTCTGCTTTTCTAGCTCTTGGGTAAAGAGATAACCCTGCAGAGTGCCCATAGTACCAATAAAGAGAAGCATCTTACAGTTCAGTATGAACTGAAAACAATGACTTGCAGCTCTTCCAAAAGCCCTTAGCTCTAATGATCATCGAGGCTGAACTAGCAAAACTGGTTCTTGATTTCTAATCAATTGATTTTGTCTGTTCTCCCAAACCAAAAGTGTTAAGTCAGTCCACAATATTAGACTCTTCAAAAGAGTAAAAAAAAAAAAGTATTTAGATGCCTGAGAGTAAAGATGTCTATCAGCTGGGATTTTCAAAAGTTGCTGGCTGTCTCCTTGATTTCAATCCAAGTCAGGTGCAAAAGTTTTTAGAAAAACAACCACATCCTTGGATGTTTAACTATCTTTTAAAATCTGACTTAACTGAGTATGTGACAAACTATGTAAACAGTCATCTGAATTTTTTTCACGGAAAAACCTGTAAAATTAAAACTCAAAATATTGTATTATTCATGTGGATTTTACAATTATTTGAACACATTTAACATCAACACTTCCAACACTGCCAAAGTAAGAAACTTCGGCATTTTCTACTAATATTTACAGCACAAAAAGTTCGAAATTAATTCTGCCCTGAAATAATACTCAGGAGGGACTGATACTCAGGGTATGAAAATCTCAGCTATATTTCTCTTGGATCTGTCCAAACGCCTCTGCAAACCTTTGATCATACAATACTCCTCCCTAAAAGCCAACTGTCCTGAAAGAGGAGTGCCTTCAAGAGAATCATGTCTACTATCCTCAATCATAAAAGAAAAATAACCAACCACAGAGATCTCCACAGATACCAGAGAGACTGGAATATAAAGACAATACAAAAGAAAGACCGTTAACTAAATTCTATTTGGAACCAAATCACATACTAGACAGAATCACTAAAACCTTCAACCTTCACCAGCTGAAACACTGCCCTCCCAAGTTCCATTCCATTCATGGAAAAAAAAGATATTTTCCCACCTTTTGATCCAAGAGCAAATTTAAATCTTCAGAACCAAGATTTGACTGGTGCTAGTAGATCTAGTTAGGAAGGCTACTAAGTATTTTTAATACCTACTCTTTTCCTCCATTTACACATAGCTCCACACTGAAGACTAGCAAAGACTGAATGCAAGCATTTAAGTAACACATGCTCTATGCTTTATCTTCTTGATTTTACACAGCAGCTTGCAGAAATTAGTTTCCAAAGGCCTGCTTGAATGTGTTTGGACAAGCAGCTATCAAGAAATCAGATACCTCAAAGGTTCTCATTCAGTGATGTAAAACATTCTTTAATAGCCAGTCAATAAATGTAAATATGTATTTTTGTTTGTTTGATGACACCTTCTTTGTTGTAAAACAGAGGAAGAAAGTGCAATTGTCAAGTAGTCCATCAGAGGTATGAAGAGAGCAATACAAAAGGCCTTGAAAGCATTCCCTCCTTTTGTTGTACTGCTATATTGTAGCTGTAGACAGACAGTTCTGGTTGACTGCTCTGAGTGTTAATGGGAGAGAGGCTCTGAAATGACTACTGAACAGAAAGAAAAGCTTACACTAAGATCAGAAAGAAGAGAGGGAGGTCACTCAACGGTAAAACATAAAAATAAAACTTAAGGACAAGTGGCATAAATCTATGTGGCTCATCTGATTTACATGAATCTATGGCAAAATAAATGGACATAGGCTTTTGCTACTTGCTTCATATTAAAATGTGCATGTCTTAAAAGAAAATTAGTAAATTCATCTTGGAGTTTTGATGTCATGTACCAAATAAACACTAAGTTAGAATTAAGGAGACCTGAATTCCATTCCCATTCTGGTCACTGGCTTACTGAATGACCTTATCAGTCATAAGACCCATCATCTTTTCTTAAATTATCTATAAAATGGGATAACAGAACCTGCTTTTTCATAAAGCATGCTGAAAAGCTATGTAAGTGCTAAAGTTTATTACTAACTTTACCAGCTTATTACACCAGTTTTGAGTTCTACAGAAGTTGATGGAATTAAGAGAATTTCACTGGCAGAAAACTGGAGTAAGATATTGTTGAATCAAGACTGCACACGCTGCAGACATTTTATTACAGATTTAATAAGCAACATCCAGATACATCTTTTTAAAACTGATAAGGTATTGATTTAACAGATGCTAAAGCCGAATTTTTATGTAATTAATATTTCAAAAGTCAGCTGTTCTGACTATATAGAAAGCAGCCCAATGCAAAGCAATACAAAGAAATACAGTGCAAAGCTGTGCCAGTTTCTGCCTCTCTGGAGCTCTGGCTGCAGACTCAGGGAAAAAAGTGAGTGCCTACATGCACTAGATATTCGAGCCCAAGACCCTCGTCTGAGACTAGGTGCATACTTACTCCTTTAATAAATTTGAGCGGCATTTGAATTAGATTCATCAATTACATGCACACATTTGATTGGAATTTTGTCGTTGGCATGCATATTTCAAACATTCATTAAGTGTCCTTATTTTATAGCAAGTACTTATGGCTGCTTTTAAAAATATTTAAAATGCTCCACCAGAACTTTGCCATTCTGAATATAAGCAAAGGAATATGTGGATTATTTATCATAAATAGCTTTTAAATGTATGTGTACAAGCCATCATAGGCTTTTTTCTGTTTTTTGTTTTTGAAGTGATAGAGCTTATTAAGGAAAAAAAAAAAAAAAAAAAGGAGACCAGGAGTGTGGCTCATGGCTCTTCCTTTACCAATAGTGTGAGTTTTAAAAGCTATCAAAGCCCTCATCTGCAGTATTTAAAGGGATATATAGCATTTCTGAAACTGTCTCGTGTTGTGAAGAAAATGATTATTCAGCGATAACAGATACCATTACTGTCTTAGTAATCACATCGTTGAACCTACTAAAAAATGTAAAGAGATACTGTGTCTTTATTAGAATACTGTATCTATGGTCTACAGATCACTCTTCATTACAACAAATTGAACTTGAAACATTCAAACTCTAAGATACCAATTCACTTAAAAAGGCTAGCTGTAAGATGGCATGATTAAAACACTGTAGAGACTAAGGGGAATTTTTCCATGCTGTAAAATTCGGAAAGCAACGAACCCTTTTTACCTCTTTGAAGATGTGACTCAGATTAAAGTACAACATCACTTCAGCCACAATAACTTAATACAAGTCATAATTTGGTTTGGGAAAATAAATTCTTATCCCCCACCTTTCTCATTAAGATTACGGAAAAGTTTGGATGATCCTTTCCAAACTGGTGGTGTCTCCATAAGGATCTGATTCAGTTCCTAAAAAACAACATTTAAAAAAGATAAAGTATAATTTAAATATTTAATGAAGTAGTGAACAGATTATGAGTAAATGCTAGGAAATCAGTATAAAAGACAAGGAACTGCATACAAATCTACCAGTTAATTTAACTTCAGTTCAGCCCAATGACTTTGGAAGTACTCAAGCACATATATAAATTTTGCACACGGTTATTCCAAGAATTGCTCATCTGCATGAATACTAAGTGTTTGCAGAGTTGGAGAGAGACATATAAAGTATTTGTTGCTGAAGTTACTCACCACTGCCCATATTCACTGAAGCCAAGGATAAGTCCCCCTGGATTTCAGTAAGGTTTTCATACAAGCTCCAAGCAACTGTTCTTTTAAAACACTCAACCTGAACTAAAGCAAACTTCACCCATCAATATGAATGTACTTTACTTAAAATACAGGGATACAGACAGAGCCTTTTTGCAGTTGTACAAATGTTAAAAAAAAAAGTAAGAGGCACTTAGACATCACAAAAGGTACGGAGTGGCCGGAGTATTTCAGGCAGCTTTGGATACACCTGTTAGACACTAAAGAAACTCAGTCAGATATGGGCTGAGGAAGGAACTGACAGAGGCTTGAGAAAGTCAGTAAATCCAACATAGCAAGCACAGCTGCTCAAGTATCTTTGAGATTCTAGATTCAGCTGAATCTGAAGTGACAAAAATGAAGCAATCAAAGTCTCTCTCCTTTTCTTTTACTGAAGATTTAAAAACTCCCTTCTTTCTCCTGTGACTCTAAGTTTACATCACGAAAGAAAGTAACTGTATCAAAATCTGTGGTTATAAGACAGCACAGGAATTATTGCCCACCTGCTTTGAAAGGGATCGCCACTTTTTAGCACCTGCAACAAAAGACAAAGTAATGAATGCACAGAATTTAGTTATGCCAATGTGGTGTCATAAAAATTAGACTGCATCTATACTCTGTGTTTTCTAGCCAAAGAGGAGGTATTTTCCCTATTTCATGAGGCTAATCTTCAACCTGGTTCCAAAAAATTCTCTTTGTTATTAAAAAAAAAAAAAAAAAAAGCTTAATACATACCTAAACTCCTAACTTTAAAGAACCAATTCAGATGTATAGTTTTTCATCCAACTCTGCTTCAGTGAGAGGTGACTTTCTACCTCCAAAATACACCACTAAAACATTAAACAGGAAATAGAGGGCATTCATGTTAACTGGTGGTATCGATATTCTGAAATGATTATTTAGTAGCAGCAGTATTACAGTGCAGACTGTAGGGAGACCTGGATTCTGGCCCTTTCTTCTGGGACTACTCATACCTTTTAAAGCAAATACAGAAAAAAAAAAAAATCTTTGAAACTACACCAGGTGCTAAGACTCCCTTCAGCCATTCCTAGTAACTCAGATTCATGCTCCCTTTTACAGTCTCTGTCAGGCTCAATTTTTTGCAAGTAGTTTTAACAGAGAAGTTGAAGAGGGCCTCTGGATCAGAACTGGAACTGCTCATCAGCACTGAAAACTGACAATGAGTAAGACTGAGCAGATGCTTTCTTCCTAATGCCTGATATGAAAGACTCCAGGAGCACAAAAAGATACTCGCGTTTGACAACAGTTGTCCACAACCATCCAAGAATTCAAAACTTGAGGTTCATTGCCACCCTCTCAAAACAAACATTTGCACAGATTCAATATTAAGATAAAGCACTGTGAATATCAGAATTCACAAAGGTACAAAAAGTAGCATAGAATCTGGTCAAATCCGTTAACTTTTTGGTTGGTAAAGGCTCATTTTTATAGAGAAAAACACAGTGGTATTAGAAATCCCTTCCTCATGATGAACTCCATGCTCTATTAAATAATTATCACAATATAGAAGTTACTCACTATGGTCTTTCACCAGTTCATGGTTAGAAACTCACTGAAATTTTAGTTCTACATGCTGGTAAAGGTTAGCACAAAGATTGTCTGCAAATCCCACTCCAACCACGGTGGAGTTATATCAAGTAACATCATAACATGAGCTAACAGATTTTCATATACTTTTCAGTTTAGTTTTTTAATGTCAATTAAAGTCTTGTCTCAAAATGCTAAATAAAACCCAACAAAACATCCTCATTTGCCATACAAATTGATACATGTTTATGCCTACCAAAAGAAACTTGGGAAATAAATATATCTAACTTTCCAATCAGATAATTTCCCAGTCTCATACATTATATATAGATTTCTTTCTAGAAAAGCAAGTGAAAATTTATGTGTTTATATATACTTCCTACAGCTCAGTATTAGGCTAAAATTACTATAGTTAGAGCTAAAGGGAAGCTAAACTTCTCTTAATTGGCTTTCTAAATACAGAAACATATATTCAGATGATAAAAATGTATGAAGCGTGACTGTTAAAAATATATTTTCCCAAAGAAACCCTGCACCATACAGGCAGCAGCAGCAAGTTAATTATAGCATTTATTTTACATTTTTTATAACAACTGCCTGGAGTAAAAAGTTATGTTTTATAAAAGAAAATATGCTCTTACCATATTAGTTAGTGTTTAATCAAAAAAGGAAGTGAACACCCTCTTGACTTTTGTAGGGTTTACAAGATTTCCAAAGTAAATCAATCACAATAGACGCATTCACTCCATCACAAATCTCATTCAGGTCTAGTATTATTAGCTTTTCTATAAAGCAGACATAAAGAGCTACTATTATTACTCTTCAAAGGGCATTTTTGCTTTTTGACAAAACTCAAGACCTTTCTAGTCTTCATCCATTAAAAAAACAGGTGTATTTTTTTTTTTCCTGCAAAATAAAGATGATCTACTCTATCAGCCTGGATGGACTCAATTATATACAACTTGTAACTTATTTACAAAATGATCCAAAATTACAAACTATGATGTTTAGAATGTATTATTTTATAGAAAAACACCTTCCTTAAACTTACTACCTTCCATAGAGCAAGAGAGAAAATTAAGACTTGCCCAAAGAGACAAACCAGTACTTTGACAAAGCTGCAGTACAAAGGTTAAAATTAACACAGATCAGAAGCTGGAAGTGGTAATACCTGCAGGTCATCTACTTCATCTATTACTTCCTACTTGTCAGCCTTCTGTCCAAATGTCCTTGACAATATGACTTACACTATAATGAAGTCATCCACTTCTACTTAGTTACAGCCTCTTACACTATCCTTTAAAATCATTATCTCAGTCATGTAATCTCTGATACTAGTCTATAAAACTAAAGGATATCCAGGTTAGTTTTGCTTTCAGTCTCAGAGATGAACTGGATGGACAGGAAGGATTTTGATACAAACAAGGTTTGCTACAAATTGAGAACTCAGAAGGGTGCCTGACTGTTCAACTCCAGATCTCTTCTTCTTTGGCATGAGATGAACAGAATGTTCTTGTGAGCTTAACAATTTTTGGTTTGATTCGGTTATTAAAAACTGAATACTTGCTGTGAGAGAGGAGGAAGCATAAATTTCATTAGCATAGAAAAATCTTAATAGCAAACCATACATAAAGTGTAGTCAAACCAGTCAAACTGTCATTAAATGGAGTTAAACTGAAATGTGTAACCGATGTCCAGCACATGGCACAAATGCTTCATGACCATACATGGTAAAACCCAATTCCACAGTAAGAAAAAAAGGAAGACTTGGAAATCTGGGCAGAGGAAGTAAAGTGCCGATGTATATTTGTATTAACTTCTGTGATAAGGAATCTGTTTCCCCTCTTTTAACTGCAGAGCAAAAAAAGAGAACGAAGATTTGCTTTCTGGTAAGAGTTTCAAAGTTTTGAAAGTTTTCACCATCTAAGCTCTATCTTCTGTCTTCACTGTTACAATGAGATTATATCTGTATTCAAAAGTTATAGAAGTTTTGATCACTGATGTGCCATGGCTGAATTCTTTCCTCTTGTTTCATTACGGTTAAGAGAACAAAGGGGAAAAACCTAACATCTGCACAGAGCTTTGAGCTCTCCTCTCACTGTTTTACCTGCTTTTGACTGTTCTCTATACTAGCTTTGTGGTGTAGACTTTAGGAAGAAAGACCTAAGGTGAGTTATTATACATGTCACACCTGAGCAAAGATATTCACTTTCCCCAGAAGTTGTGTGCTGCTACCAATGCACTGCAAGCCTGAGGGCCAGGAAATCAAACTAGATCAGAAATGGATCACCTTACTATTTAGTCACTCTTTGATATTTAAAGCAAAAATTTTACAATAAGTGAACTAAAGTTGATAGTTTATTTTTCATTAATTTAATTAACACTTAGTGCTAACTCCGGCAACCTTTAAGTGTAGAAAGTGGATCCCCTGGGGGACTGAAACTCTTACTCAAAGCATGTTGTTTAGAAAGCCGTGATACAGTTATAAAATCTCTGTAGGGCAAAAAAACCCCAACACGATAGCAGATGACAATTTAAGATGGCAAAAATTGCAAAACAACGTTATCCTAAGTTATTTAGAGAACTCATACCTTGCCTGCCTATTTACACAGAAACTATACAGATGAGGAGGCAAGAGTTTTACAGCAATACTGGCCTGCTCAGAAAGAAACCTTAACTGTAACTATGTCAATGCAAATGCTACAAATGAACTTCTTGTCTTTCATGCCCATTGAGCTGCCTGTGACCTCTAAGACAAGATCGTTTAACTAATGACTAGTATACAGATGTTTACAATCTAATAACAATCAGGATACTGATTGTATGCACTTGGTCACCATTAAAAATAAAATTCTGGAAGATGCAGTACCTTTTTACCACAATCAGAAACAGAAGTAGACATCAAAAGCAAATGGAAAAACAACATACACCACTGGCATTTTCCCTAGCAATTTTATCAATACAAAACTCCTGCTTACGTTTGGGTTCATCATTTGTGACAGCCTGAATGAAGTCATATGGAGTCATATAGAGCTGTCCTTCAAATTCTAAACTGGCAAACCTACGAAACCGTTGCTCCCGAGGAGTTGCATAAAGGTGTAAATCTTCAAGGTCTGATCTGTTTTCTGTAACCTTCAAAGACAGAAGGAAACAACTTTAATGTATGAAAAAAATTTTGGTTTACAATTGCCACTGCCATTCACCATAAAGAAACTGTAAATGTAAAGGTGATAATTGGTAAAGTCAAATGCATCCAAATATTTTTATATGGTAAGAGCTGAAACTACAATCAGGATTTCACCGCTATCATTTTCAGTATTCTACAATTTTAGCAATAAATCTTTATGCATTGAAATTGTTGACACTACCCAAGCTCAGGGAAAAAAAAAAAAAGAAGATAACTTAGGCTCTTGAAGCATAGAAAAAGGGACAGCATTAACTCAAGGAAGTCCATGTAACTTCAGCAGTCAGACTTTAAACAACTCTGCTAAAATTATTTCAGTTGCCTGACATTTCCAGAAGAGAATGGAATAACATTTTTTTATATTGCCTCTTAGTGTAGAGTGCAGCTGTTGACAGTAATAGGCAAGACACCTCCATAATATACTCCAGTGCAAATCTTCTACAAACACTGCTATTTCAAGTATCCAATGCAATTAAACCTACCATACTTGGGGGAACAGAAGAAGAGCATAATTATTCCTCCAGAGTTACAGAGTACTATATTTCATTAAGTTCACACCTCATCTGAGTTTATAGATATCAGGGGTTTCTGGTATATTTACCATCCAGCTGATTTATGTGTAAACTTAGTAATACAAAACTGTAAGTGTCCTAAATGATTACATCTTTGTGTTATACTGTCAAACCTTTTAACAGAAAATACACTACTGCTATCTGAAAACATTTTTTAGCCCTAATGAGGCAACCTCCTCTGTGGAATCAGTATCTTGAAGAAAATGTCAGTATCTTGAACTTTTTTTCAGAAATTAAACAAACAAACCCAAACCGTTTCATAAAAGGCAGAGCAGTGATATAGCTAACTCCTCCCAGTATGTTAAAATAGGAATGCAGCATCTTATCAATGAAGTATCCCAAGCTGCCACTGTCCTCACTATTCTTGTCATTTCATACAGTATCCCTAAAATACTTCAGGTGTCAAACTAAGGAAAGGCAACAAGTAGCACACAGTTTAACTAATGTCTACGTTTTCTTTTAACAACTAAGAAAACAGCCAAATACATTTGGGTTTTCAGAGAGGCATCTAAACACAAAGAGGAGTTGGGAGATGTCTGCGGTTGCTGTCTGCTAAGAGACAACGGTCCTCAACTACAAATGGAAATTGGTTTTCCAAAACCTTTCTAAGAATAGGTTTCAGATTTCAGCAATTAGAAGTAAAGGCACATTTATACTGGGCAGTCAAAAATCTGGGCTCACTTTCCTTCTGCTTTCCAAACCACATCCGTAAAACATAAAACGTTAGTAAGACTACCGCAGTGAAACAAAATTTTATGGCCTCAGTTGTAATTAAGAGATTAAGTTATGTTTGTAAAATAGACACACCAAAAATGAATGTGCCTAGAAGAGGTCAAACACTTTTTATTTGGAAAAAACAAAACAAAAAATAACTTGTATATATTCGCAGTGTAACAGAAGACTTGCAATTTCTTGATTTTATATATGGCAGTCTTAGTACTTCAATACTTTATCTAGGACATTTTAACCAGCCTTCTAAAAGGAAAAAAGACTATTGACTGTGTAGTTCTCTTTCTGGGTTGTCTCTAGTCTTTTTTAAATTATTACTTCGTGTGTTAGAGAAAGAGAAAAAATGTTTTGTTTCAATGGAAAAGACTTTCATAGAAAGTAAGAGTAATAGAAATGCTTATACAATCATTTACTTTTCAGTAGACTGCTCTACATACCAACATTCTGCACTTCTGCCCAAGAAGCAGCTTTAAACCTGGTCTTTGTGTTTTTTATCATTTTCAAATGATTACCAAATTAAATATGGGGAGAAAAAAAAAAAAAAGAAATGGCACAGCCAGACCTACAAACTCACCTCAGAATGGCAGAAAAAAAGCTGAATTCTCTTCTGACATACCCACATGCAAACCACAATATTTCTGTCCTATATCACTGTTTGAATATTATGGTCTTACTGATCCTTCAGGAGTCCAGTGGCATTCAAGCTATGCCTTCATGTGGGATTTACAGGACTCAATTGTTTTGGTAGAGCTTGTAGTGACATAACTGATTATCCCTGTATTTGAAGTTTAATAATCTATCTTATTTTTGATACATGTTATTTTATCACTATTACAAACATGCTTTTGAATACATGCAGGTTGTAAGCAAGAGTAATAAAGTAATATTTCTGCAAAGTCTATTTTCAGAAAAGAAACTGCTTCAAGGCCGCATTATACATGCGGTATGTATAATCGATTGTAATCAGTCAGAATTAATCATACATACTGAGGAGAATCTGTAGATAATGTATCACTCAAGAAATATCATCTTAGTTTTGATCACTGTTAGTATTTGGAGAGCATGTTGAGATTCTTTGCTCTCAAGAAATTCACACTATCTCAGGTACTACTGCTTAATATTTTGCTTGAGACACTTAGAAAAGCATTTGCTAAATTCTCAGACACATATTTCAACATTATCTTAAGTACTCTATGCTACTGTAAGTATAAAATAACATACTGCAAACATGGAATTTGTGAGACATGCTTAAACTTAACTCATGCCAGTACTCAGGTCTGCAAAACCTTAATTTCTGCTTCATTTTAGCCAATGTACAGTTTCCCTCTGACTCTACAGCAATGCCAGTATTTCCCGCTCTGGCTCAAAGTCATTGTAACCTGATATGAATATAGCCTGCCACCAAAAAGAGCAGTACCCCCTAAAGGCTCAATACCCTGCATGCCCTTGCTCTGGCACTTTATGTTCATTTTTCCAAGTGTCAAACTGGATAAGGGAACTGGTCTGACTGAGAACTTTTTTTTTGGTGGTGTTATTTTTTAGCCAGATAAATGCCTGGATCTACCCCACAAGAACCGTCATTTTTTTCAAAACCTAGGCCACAGGAACTTGCAGCTTATGGAAAAGAAAATATCACCCCTTCCAGCAGCAAGCTCCACCTATTTCAAGTTAAAGTGATGGGAAAACTGCAGGCTTAAGCGTAATTTTATTCCAAGGAATAAAAATACCACTTTATTTTGAACTTTGTGGTTTTTATCTGAAAGAATCAAAACAAGTTGTTTCTGCTATTGATCCAACATGACTCCAAACAAACGTATACAGGGTTTAACATGTATTAGATCACTGGTCCCTACACTAAATACCCAAATAAAAGCAAGGTTTGGCTGCAGAAGACTCCAGGCACACACCTTAGCAAACTGACAAATAAAGCCATCTTTGGGAGGAATACTATTTTTTGTCCAAATCTCTTGTTCAGAGCTTTCCTTCTATTACTGCTTATCAATTTATGGAACATGCACAACTTTAAGTCTCTTGCACAAAAGCCGTAATTATTAGGAATTAATCAACATGCTAATCAAAAGCCAAGCCATTCTAAAGCATGACCCCAATTTGTACCTCTTCAGGCATTCATTTAAGAAATTCATCTCAACACATAACTATGAAACGTCTCTGGTTTTCCCCAACATTAGCAGATCATAATCCAGTGAGGCAAGTATGAGACTCCAGTGACACCAATTGCTCTCAATTGATTTATTTCATATTTATGCCCAGGTTAGGCAATCTTATTGTAGCAGCATTAGCATCAAATCCAATGGACACATGAACAAGACACAGAAAGTACATGTTGAATACCTCAGGGAAGGTACTGTTGGTGAAGGAGTGAACAAGATTCACTAAGATTCCAATTTCTATTTGAAGTTTCAAGAGCTTATCCAGACTAAATCTCTCTGTAATTATCAGCAATCTTCAAAAACTTTCATGAAAGTACATCTCTTTGACAAATAAAAGAGGGGAGATTTTTTTTATGCTTCTGTTTACTAATCCTCTTGGCAATCCTGCCTACTAATTACTATGATCTTGTATCATGTTATGGTTCTCTGCCTTTTAAAAACTGGACACGGCCACCTCCTTCAAACAGAATGTCACGACTCTCCCAATAGCAGTATTATCTTAATTTCAGGCATAGCAGGTTAGCTCTGGTTTACCTGCACATGTACACCAACCTACTTTGTTATTACAACTTCTAGGGGAAAAAAGAGCATCACAGCTGAAACCAAGAATCTAGCTGGTAGCCAGAGTTTCCATCCTTCCAACTTCACAACTCATGAAGTAAGTAAAAAGAAGCAAGACTGAAGCCCATCAGCACTCACGAACAATACATTATCTTTTCCCTGTTCTCAAAAAAAAAATATCTAAGCGTGAGTAGTTGTATTCAAACAGCTCATGGTTGCCATCCTTCTGCCCTTCCTCTCTCAAACTCTGGTACCTTGTTGCTCCGTATTTCACCTCCCACCCCCTGTCCTCCTGTGCCATACCCTTACAGAAGGACCGCAGAGGGAACACAGCACCTTTCTGGGGTGCTGCTATGCATGGCCTTGGCTTCCATCCGCCCTCTGCAAAACCAAGAATAGAGACTGTGTGGCTCTTCTAAGCTTAGTTTAAATCAGCGGAGGAGAAAAAAATGAAATTACCTTGGCCTGTTTTCTTGCTGTTCCCTAACGCAGAAATGGATATACACATACCTAATTCTCACACAGAGGAGACATTTCAAAGCACTTTCTAAAATGGATTAAATGGATTCAGCATTTATATGCAAACCACTACCAGGCAAAGTAAACAGAGGGAAACATTTCTGATAAGAAAGTCCATTTTAACATCAGCTTATCAAAACAAGGTAAGTAAAAATTAACTTGAGACCAAATAGTAATTTGGCAGGGTTCTTCTCTGAATGGAGAGCATCACTCTGCAATTATGTGTGCTTCCACTGTAAATCTATGCCACAAACATATCACAAACAGCCTAAAAAAATCTCGAAAAGGCCTCAAAAGTTTCAAACTTCTTATGCAAATGAAAATATGATGATAATGCTCTCTCATTAACATATTTCAGGGATTTAATATAATTCCTAAAAACTATTTTGTAGAAAT